TAGCCGGGCAGTGGCGGCGCCTGTAGCCCAGCTACTCGGAGGCTGGAGAGAATGGCGTGACCCGGAGGCGAGCTGCAGTGACCGATCGCGCCACTGCACTCCAGCCTGGGTGACAGAGCCAGACTCCGTCTCAAAAAAAAAAAAAAAAAAAAAAAGGCCGGGTGCAGTGGCTCACATCTGTAATCCCAGTACTTTGGGAGGTTGAAGCACCCAGGTCTCTTGAGGCCCGGAGTTTGAAACCAGTCAGGGCAACATAGCAAAAGTCTGTCTCTACAAAAACAAAAACAAAAATTAGCCGGGTTTGGTGGTGCATGCTTGTAGTCCCAGCTACTTGAGAGGCTGAGGTGGGAGGATTATTTGAGCCTGGGAGGTGGAGGCTGCAGTGAGCCAAGATCACAGCACTGCGCCCCAGCCTGAGTGACAGAGTGAGACCCCATCTTAAAAAAAAGAAATTGAAAATTTAAAAATGTCACTAAATTCTTGATGTGATCTCATATTTGCTATTCACGTTCTCTTGGTGGGGGACATTAACACCTTGTGTTCTTGGATTCTCTGTCCCCTTTCAAGGGACCAAAGACCTCCTGGTCTCATTGATCCTTTGTGGTTGCCCAAATCCCTTTTCTACCTCAACCAACCCAGGTCCTCTTGAGAAAGCTTTCTCTTTTGTCTTGAGCTTCCACACACGGGCTGGGCTGCCGCTTCCCTCTGTCAGCCTCTCGTGATTTTCATGGTTCAGTCCACCACCAGGATCTCCCCTGCCTAATTTTTAGCATGGTTGTGGATTCCTGTCTTTTTTGTGCGTACCTTTGCTCTTGTTTCTAAGGGCTGGTGGGTGAGGAAAAGATAGGGAGAGACTGCTACACGTGCTTAGATTCCCATATTGAAACCAGAAGCTGGAGAAAATGCTAGGAACTAGTAAGAGAGGGCTCGTCTTTAAGAATGTAAGAGTCGGCCGGGCCCGGTGGCTCACCTGTAATCCCAGCACTTTGGGGGGCCAAGGTGGGCAGATCACTTGAGGTCAGGAGTTCAAGACCATCCTGGCCAACATGGTGAAACCCCGTCTCTACTAAAAATACAAAAAATCAGCCGGGCGTGGTGGCAGGTGCCTGTAATCCCAGCTACTTGGGAGGCTGAGGCAGGAGAATCACTTGAACCTGGGAGGCGGAGGTTGCAGTGAGCTGAGATCGCGCCACTGCACTCCAGCCTGGGCGACAGAGCAAAACTCTGTCTCAGAAACAAAAAAAAAAAAACACACACAGAATGTGAAAGTCAGGGTGAGCTGGATATGGGAAGGTAAAAAATGGTGAGGCCAGATGAGTGAGAGCAGATGAAGCAATGCTGCAGCTACCAGTGAGATATCTGGAGGCACCCGCATGGCAGTCATACTGTCAGCCTAAGCAAGTGGTGACATTATCAAAGATCTACTGGGTTAAGAAGAGGAGGGGATGTTACTTATTTGGGTCATGTTTTAGCCTTCCAGATGTAGGAGTGAAAGACATCTTGGAGATCCTATAGTCCAACTGTCTTGGGTTGTTGTTGTTGTTTTCTTCCTCCACAGAAGAGGAAAACAGGTTCTGAGATGTGAATGATCAGCCCACAAGGGCTCTGTGAGCTCAGGTGGACAGAGGTCCTGGCAGTCCCAGCTCAGAGCTCCTTCTTGGGCCTCGCAGCCCTGGCATTTGGACTGGCTGCTGCCGACCCATCCTGAGGGCGTGTTTTGGTTTCTTAGGGCGACTCAGGAGGACCCCTGGTCTGCGAGGAGCCCCCTGGCCGGTTCTTTCTGGCCGGCATCGTGAGCTGGGGAATTGGCTGTGCAGAAGCCCAGCGTCCGGGGGTCTATGCCCGAGTCACCAAGCTACGTGACTGGATCCTGGAGGCCACCACCAGAGCCAGCGTGCCTCCGGCCCCCACGGTGGCTCCTGCCCCCGCCGCCCTCAGCACGGCCTGGCCCACCGGTCCTGAGAGCCCTGTGGTCAACACCCCCACCAAATCCACACAGGCCCCCAGCACTGTGCCTCTTGACTGGGTCACCGTTCCTAAGCTACAAGGTATTTTCGGGGCAGAAAGGTAGAAGATGATGTACGCGCCTATCTTGATTTAGGGAGAATTGATATCGTCATAGTATTTTCATAATTTTGGGTCTTCCTGTTCGAGGAAAGGTCACATGTATCCATTTATTCCCATCTTCTGTTGCGTGTACCCTCACAGTATCTGTCTGTCCATAGGTCTTGCCCATGTCTTGCTAAGTATGGCGATCTATCAATGGAATACTTTTTTTTTTTTTTTGAGACAGAGTCTCGCTCTGTCACCCAGGCTGGAGTGCAGTGGCATGATCTTGGCTCATTGCAACCTCCGCCTCCTGGGTTCAAGCGATTCTCCTGCCTCAGCCTCCCGAGTAGCTGGGATTATAGGCGTCTGCCACCACACCCAGCTAATTTTTGTATTTTTAGTAGAGACGGGGTTTCCTCATGTCGGTCAGGCTGGTCTCGAAGTCCTGACTTCACGATCCGCCCACCTCAGCCTCCCAAAATGCTGGGATGACAGGCATGAGCCACCTCGCCCGGCCTGGAATACTTCCTATTGTATATTCAAATAGCTTGTACCCAGACAACTTGTAGGATTGGCCGGGCGCGGTGGCTCATGCCTGTCATTGCAGCACTTTGGGAGGCTGAGGCGGGAGGATCGCTTGAGGTCAGGAGTTCAAGACCAGCCTGGCCAACATGGCGAAACCCTACTAATTTTTAGTCTCTACTAAAAATTAGCTGGGCGTGGTGGAGGGCACCTGTAATCCCATCTACTCGGTAGGCTGAGGCAGGAGAATCGCTTGAACCCAGGAAGTGGAGGTTGCAGTGAGCTGACATGGCGCCACTGCACTCCAGCCCGGGTGATAAGAGCAGAACTCCATCTCAAAAAAAAAAAAAAAAAAAAAGAAAAGAAAAAGAAAAGAAAAAACTTGTAGGACTATATCTGTTTCCAAAACCTGTTAGTTGCTTTCATATATATATATATATATATATTTTTTTTTTTTTTTTATGAGACAGAGTTTTACTCTTGTCGCCCAGGCTGGAGTGCAGTGGTGCGATCTTGGCTCACTGCAACCTCCACCTCCCGGTTCAAGTGATTCTCCTGCCTCAGCCCCCTGAATAGCTGGGATTACAGGCGTGCATCACTATGCTCGGCTAATTTTTGTATTTTTAGTAGAGTCAGGGTTTTGCCATGTTGGCCAGGCCGGTCTCGAATTCCTGACCTCAGGTGATCTGCCCGCCTTGGCCTCCCAAAGTGCTGGGATTACAGGTGTGAGCCACCGCGCCCGGCCATGCTTCATTTCAGTTCACCTACACCCCATACTGTGTTCCGAAACCCCATAGCAATCGTACCCCTTCCTTTTCTGAGCCGCCCCATGGGTCTCCTGGAGTGCAGCCCTGTCTTTGCAAGGAGCCCATAAACCTGGCTCTGTGGGCTGCGGGTCTGTGGCGGGGGGTCCTCAGGCTGACTGGGCTGCTGCTGTTGCTTTGTTAACTTCCGTCCCCCAAGCTAGGCCACGAACTTGCTGCAAGACCTTGGGCAAACTACGGACCCCTCGAAGCCTCCACGGCTTCATCTGTGGAATGGGAGGGATTGCGGCACCTTTAGGGCCTGGCTGCAGTTGGTGTCCTGGGACCCTACCCACCCCCATGCTCCCATCCGAGCAGGCCAAGATCCCCAGACCTGGTCTTGTGTCCCCCTTCCAGAATGTGGGGCCAGGCCTGCAATGGAGAAGCCCACCCGGGTCGTGGGCGGGTTCGGAGCTGCCTCCGGGGAGGTGCCCTGGCAGGTCAGCCTGAAGGAAGGGTCCCGGCACTTCTGTGGAGCGACTGTGGTGGGGGACCGCTGGCTGCTGTCTGCCGCCCACTGCTTCAACCAGTAAGGCCCGCCTCCTCCAGGAAGGCTGCCCGGTTTCCCCTCCTCACCAGCCCCTCCCTGTCAGAAACCATCCTGCTGGGGCTGCCTCATGGTGCCCCCCCTACCCCTTGCCCCACCCCAGGGAGCAGCCCTTCCTCTCCTGAGGGCAGCTGACAGGAGGGAGCCGGTGCCAAGGCTTCTGAGGACAAACAAAAGGGGAGGGGGAGAGGGTTCCTTCCCCATTGCTTGCTACCCAGGCCGCATTTATCTTGGAGATTCCCACATCTGTGGCCCACATCTGTGGTCCCAGCTACTCAGGAGGGTGAGGCAGGAGAATTGCTTGAGCCCAGGAGGTCGAGGCTGCAGTGAGCCTGATGGTGCCACCGCACTCCATCTGGGGCAGCAGAGCGAGACCCTGTCTCAACAAAAAAAGAGAGAGACTCATAAAGCTGTCGGGGGTTGGGAGGGCTTTGGCACAGGTGTAGAAAATGAAGCTGAGGGTCCCCTGACTTGCCCAAGGTCCCCCAACTCGGGATCCTTTTCAGGAGGAGCCCGGCAGCCCCTCTTCCCCTGGTCCTCCCTGGAGCCGAGGGTCAGAGGAATGGTCCTGGGGCTCAGGCAGCCCCGTGCAGCTTCCTGGGGGGGGGTGCATCAGCCCTGTCCGTCCCCCAAGAAGGCGGGCATGTGCTGGAGGGCGGGCACGTCTGAGGGCCCTGTCTCCACAGCACAAAGGTGGAGCAGGTTTGGGCCCACCTGGGCACTGCGTCCCTCCTGGGCCTGGGCGGGAGCCCGGTGAAGATCGGGCTGCGGCGGGTGGTGCTACACCCCCTCTACAACCCTGGCATCCTGGACTTCGACCTGGCTGTCCTGGAGCTGGCCAGCCCCCTGGCCTTCAACAAATACATCCAGCCTGTCTGCCTGCCCCTGGCCATCCAGAAGTTCCCTGTGGGCCGGAAGTGCATGATCTCCGGATGGGGAAATATGCAGGAAGGAAATGGTGAGTGCTGCCCCGATCGAGGGGAATGGTGGATTTATTCTCCAGGGCCTGGCCTGGGGAGGACCAGGATGGGCATCTCTTACCTGGACCTTAAACCAATTCCACGGCACAGGGACCTCTGTGGCTGATCCGTTTGTCTTTAGTCCCACTGCCTACACACCACTCACCTCCCCATTCCATCTGGGGGCAAAATCTGGCTGTTGCCTGTTTGTATAAATAAAGTTTTATTGGAACAAGGGCCACGTTCTCACATCAACAGACTGTCTATGGCTGCTTTCCTGCAATAGCAGCAGAGGTAAATACTTGTGACAGAGGCTGGGCGCGGTGGCTCACGCCTGTAATCCCAGCACTTTGGGAGGCTGAGGCGGGTGGATCACGAGGTCAGGAGATCGAGACCACGGTGAAACCCCGTCTCTACTAAAAATACAAAAAAAAAAATTAGCCGGGCATGGTGGCGGGTGCCTGTAGTCCCAGCTACTCGGGAGGCTGAGGCAGGAGAATGGCATGAACCCGGGAGGCGGAGCTTGCAGTGAGCTGTGATTGCGCCACTGCACTGCAGCCTGGGCGACAGAGCGAGACTCTGTCTCAAAAAAAAAAAAAATACTTGTGACAGAGACTGGCCTTTAAAGCCAAAAATATTTAAATTCTCTGGCCATTTATAGAAAAATGTTTGCTGGCAGCCACATGCGGTGGCTCACACCTGTAATCCCAGCACTTGGGGAGGATTCAGCCAGTGGATCTCTTGCAGTCAGAAGTTTAAGACCAGCCTGGCCAACAGGGCGAAACCCCGTCTCTACTAAAAAAATACAAAAATTGGCTGGGTGCGGTGGCTCACGCCTATAATCCCAGCATTTTGGGAGGCCGAGATGGGCAGATCACTTGAGGCCAGGAGTTCGAGACCAGCCTGCCGAACATGGTGAAAGCCCATCCCTACTAAAAATAAAAAAATTAGCCCGGTGTGGTGGCGCGCACCTGTAATCCCAGCTACTCGGGAGACTGAGGCAGGAGAATCACTTGAACCCGGGAGGCGGAGGTTGCGGTGAGCTGAGATCACGCCATTGCACTCCAGCCTGGGCAAAAAGAGTGAAACTCCGTCTCAAAAAAAAAAAGCAAACGTCCCACCCCAACAGTTAATGCTTCCCTTGACCTCAGAATGGCCTCCTGCACATTACCCAGGTGCTAGGGCAGCAGCCCCATGGGGACAGTGGGGAGACGTTTGCGCTCTGAGCGAGGAATCCGAGGCCCACCTCCTTCTCACTCTGTGGCTTTGTGTGATTCCTGCAACTCTGTGAGCCCTGGTTTCTTCATCTGTGGGGTGGGGATGCTGCATCTCAGCACTGTTATCGGACCCGAACTGGAGCTGCTCTGATGATCACTCTGCAAGTGGCCTTTCTGGGCTCTTTCCCTGGTAGCCACCAAGCCCGAGCTCCTGCAGAAGGCGTCCGTGGGCATCATAGACCAGAAGACCTGTAGCGTGCTCTACAACTTCTCCCTCACAGACCGCATGATCTGCGCTGGCTTCCTGGAAGGCAAAGTTGACTCCTGCCAGGTAAGCATTCCAAGGGGGAAACCGGGCAGTATTGAGATGAAATGCCCACACCCGTTCACCTGGCAGTTCTGTGTGTGCAGACCTAGATGTCTTCCCTCCCTTTCCTTCCCTCCCTTTCCTTCTCTCTCTTTCTCTCTTTCTGACGGAGTCTTGCTCTGTCACCCAGGCTGGAGAGCAGTGGCACGATCTTGGCTCACTGCAACCTCCGCCTCCCGGGTTCAAGCGATTCTCGTGCCTCAGCCTCCCGAGCAGCTGGGATTACAGGCATGTGCCACCATATTTTTGTATTTTTAGTAGAGACGGGGTTTTACCGTGTTGGCCAGGATGGTCTCGATCTCCTGACCTCATGATCTGACTGCCTGGGCCTCCCAAAGTGCTGGGATTACAGGCGTGAGCCACCGTACCCAGCCTAGATTTCCTTTTTTTTTTGAGATGGAGTCTTGCTCTGTTGCCCAGGCTGGAGTATAGTGGCATGATCTTGGCTCACTGCAACCTCTGCCTCCTGGGTTCAAGTGATTCTCCTGCCTCAGCCTCTGGAGTAGCTGGGACTACAGGCATGTGCCTCCACGCCTGGCTAATTTTTGTATTTTTAGTAGAGACGGGGTTTCACCATGTTGGCCAGGCTAGTCTTGAACCCTTGACCTCAGGTAATCCGCCCGCCTTGGCCTCCCAAACTGCTAGGATTGCAGGACTGAGCCACTGGGCCCGGCCATAGCCACCATGCTCAGATTTCTGAAGGGCTCAACCGTGCACGCAAAGACAGAGGTTAATTTTCAGGCTGGGTGCAGTGGCTCATGCCTGTAATCCCAGTGCTTCAGGAGGCTGAGGTAGGATCAGTTGAGGCCAGGATTGCAAGACCAGCCTGGGTGACATAGTGAGATCCCGTCTCTACAAAAATAAAAAAAAAATTGTCGGGCCGGGCGCAGTGGCTCAAGCCTGTAATCCCAGCACTTTGGGAGGCCGAGACGGGCGGATCACAAGGTCAGGAGATCGAGACCATCCTGGCTAACACGGCGAAACCCCGTCTCTACTAAAAACACAAAAAATTAGCCGGGCGAGGTGGCGGCGCCTGTGGTCCCAGCTACTCGGGAGGCTGAGGCAGGAGAATGGCGGGAACCTGGGAGGCGGAGCTTGCAGTGAGCTGAGATCTGGCCACTGCACTCCAGCCTGGGCGACAGAGCGAGACTCCGTCTCAAAAAAAAAAAAAAAAAAAAAAAAATTGTCAGGCAGAGTAGCAGGTGCCTGTGGTCCCAGCTCCTTGGGCAGCTGAAATGGGAGGATCTCTTGAGCCCAGGTGTTCTAGGCTGCAGCAAACCGTGATCACACCACTGCACTCCATCCTGGGTGACACGGCAACATCGTATCTCAAAAAAACAAAGACAGGCAGGTGCAGTGGCTCCTGCCTGTAATCCCAGCACTTTGGGAGGCCGAGGTAGACAGATCACCTGAGGTAGGCAGTTCAGGACTGGCCTGGCTAACACGGCGAAACTCCATCTCTACTAAAAAAATACAAAAATGAGCCAGGAAATGTGGCAGGTGCCTGTAATTCCAGCTGCTCAGGAGGCTGAGGCAGACAGAATTGCTTGAGCCCAGGAGGCGGAGGTCCCAGTGAGCTGAGATCGTGCTACTGCACTCTAGCCTGGGCAACAGAGCGAGGCTTCGCCTAAAAAAAAAAAAAAAGGCATCAGATTTCAAGAGTAATTCTCAAAGTTAGATGCCATTATTACTAAGCAATACAAAACACCAATGACAGTGTAAATGCCCATTCATAGGCAGTAGTTAAAAGAAAGGTGGTAAATAACCTGCAATGGAAACCTACCCAGCCCAAGTTCTCAAACCAGACTCCTGAGTTCAAATCCTGCTTCAATTGCTGTGTGACCCCAGGCAAGTGCCTCAACCTCTCTGGGCCTCTGATCCTCATACGTAAAGTGAGAAGCATAACAATGCCTATCTTCTAGGAGTGTTGTGAGATCACTGTCTTGCATAGTCTTTTCTTCCTATGTATTCATTATGTTATATTCTTTTTTCTTTTTTTGAGACGGAGTCTCGCTCTGTCGCCCATGCTGGAGTGCAGTGGCCGGATCTCGGCTCACTGCAAGCTCCACCTCCCGGGTTTACGCCATTCTCCTGCCTCAGCCTCCCGAGTAGCTGGGACTACAGGTGCCCGCCACCGCACCCGGCTAGTTTTTTGTATTTTTTTAGTACAGACGGGGTTTCACTGTGTTAGCCAGGATGGTCTCGATCTCCTGACCTTGTGATCCACCCGTCTGGCCTCCCAAAGTGCTGGGATTACAGTCTTGAGCCACCGCGCCCGGCCTGTATTCTATTTTTTAATCATACTCTATATAATCATATTCTCTATTTAAAAATACTCTCTATATCAATGGGCAATTCATAATAGCTTTTTATCTTGAAAAGAATGGTGAGGCCAGGCCAGGTGGCTCACATCTGTAATCCCAGAACTTTGGGAGGCCGAGGCAGGCGGATCACCTGAGGTCAGGAGTTGGAGACCAGCCTGGCCAAGATGGTGAAACCCTGTCTCTACTAAAAATACAAAAATTAGCTGGGCGCGGTGGCTCATGCCTGTAGTTTCAGCTACTCGGGAGGCTGAGGCAGGAAAATTGCTTGAGCTCAGGAGGTGGAGGTTGCAGTGAGCCAAGATTGCGCCACTGCACTGCAGCCTGGGCAAGAGAGCAAGACTCTGTCTGAAAAGAAAAGAAATACGTCTGGCAGCTAATGATCAGGGGCCACCGCTAGGTGGTGGGACTATTCGTGGCTGTTATTATTTTTAGAGTTTTTCTGCATTGTTTTACTGCCCCCAAACAAAAGCAAGAATGATGGAAACTCAGAGAGGGGAAGTGACTCACTGCAGGTCACACAGCCAGGCGTGGGGCTGCAGCCAGGTCTCCAGACCAGCGCTGTGCCCTCTGCCCCCCCTGCCCTCGATGGGGCCCACCCACAGTGGGAACGCAGGAGGCTATGGCAGTGCCGGGAAGAGAGGGTCCCTGGGGGACCAAGCAGTGCTCTTTCCTTCCTTTCTAGGGTGACTCTGGGGGCCCCCTGGCCTGCGAGGAGGCCCCCGGCGTGTTTTATCTGGCAGGGATTGTGAGCTGGGGTATTGGCTGCGCTCAGGTTAAGAAGCCGGGCGTCTACACGCGCATCACCAGGCTAAAGGGCTGGATCCTGGAGATCATGTCTTCCCAGCCCCTTCCCGTGTCTCCCCCCTCGACCACAAGGACACTGGCCACCACCAGCCATCCCCCCAGGACGACAGCTGGCCTCACAGTCCCGGGGGCCACACCCAGCAGACCCACCCCTGGGGCCGCCAGCAGGGTGACGGGCCAACCTGCCAACTCAGCCTTATCTGCCATGAGCACCACTGCTAGGGGACAGATGCCATTTCCACATGCCCTGGAGGCCACCACGCACTCCCAGCTACCAGGTACCGGGAGAGACGCAGGGACCCCTGGGAGTGGAGGGTACCATGTTAATCAGCCCGGGCTGCCAAACAAGACAGAACATCCTCTCTGGCCGGGCGCAGTAGCTCACGCCTATAATCCCAGCAGTTTGGGAGGCCAAGGTGGGTGGATCGCCTGAGGTCAGGAGTTCCAGATCAGCCTGGCCAACGTAGTGAAACCCCATCTCTACCAAAAAAAAAAAAAAAAAAAAAAAAATTAGCTGGGCGTGGTGGTGGGCGCCTGTAATCCCAGCTACTCGGGAGGCTGAGGCAGAAGAATCGCTTGAACCCAGGAGGCAGAGGTTGCAGTGAGCCTAGATTGTGTCATTGCACTCCAGCCTGGGTGACAGAGCGAGACTCCCATCTCAATAATAATAATAAAACCAGGTGTGATGGTGCACGCCTGTGGTTCCAGCTACTGGGTAGGCTGAGACAGGAGAATTATTTGAGCTCAGGAAGCAGAGGCTGCAGTGTACCGAGATCACACCATTATACTCCAGCCTGGGTGACACAGCCTGTCTCTAAAAAAATAAAAATAAAATGAAAGCAGGGGCTTTGATGGTTCGCAGCAGCGCCAAGTCCTTGGGTGAGTGTTTCCTGTGAACCTGGCAGCTGCCCTCATGTGGGTCTGTCCCCGCAGCCTGGGGGCTGTCACTTTCTCAGTCTGAGCTGATTTTTCCTTTTTCAATAGCTATGGCCTTCCCAGGGCCCACCTCCTTGGGTCCAAAAGAGGTGGAGAAGCCCCGCCTTGAAATACAGGCGGGTTCTGTGTGGAGGCAGCTGTCGTTCCCAAGGACAGGGGCTGCGGCTGCTGTCAGATTCTCCAAGGCCACCTGGTCTTGGGTCAGGGCCAGATGGTGCCCCGGCTGGTGGGGAACTGGCACTTCTCCTTGCCGACCTTGGTATCTGCTGCGGGTGGCACAGGGGGAAGGGGGCACCCAGGGAAGCCAGCTGGGTGGTGACAGAGGGTGGGGAGGGGGGCTCGCCCCTGAGGACGAAAACGGACCTCTGGAGACAGCAGGTGGGTACGGGTCCCCTCCATGGGTGGTAACGGGGTCCCTGAAGCCCCCCGGCAACCACCCCATGTATTCTTTTCACAGCTGTGTTCTGAGGAAGGCCTTTGCACTTGGCACCGTCTGGGGAGGGCTCGGAGGCCATCAGGGATCCAGGCAGAGTGCCAAGGCAGGGCCGGGGCCTCTGGGTCAGGGCCCTGGTATGTGCAAAGGCCTTGGGGTGGGAGGGAACTCCTGGAGGACGGAGATGTGGGAAGCTGCCATGAGAGGGGCTTTCGGGAAGAAGGTGTCTTCCCAAAGCTGAAGTCACAGGAAACAAATGCATTTCCAATGTTATTTGAGAAAAGCCCAAAGACCAAGCAGCAGGCCCAGCATCCTTTCCTGCCGAGTTTTCCTGGGGCAGGTCCGCCCTCGCATCCGAGGCTCCCAGGGGGATTCGCGGAGGGGGCTTCCTGGGCGCCCTGGGTCCACCTGCCCATGCGCCTGGCTCCCCCCACAGACTGCGGCCTGGCGCCGGCGGCGCTCAGCAGGATTGTGGGCGGCAGCGCAGCGGGCCGCGGGGAGTGGCCGTGGCAGGTGAGCCTGTGGCTGCGGCGCCGGGAACACCGCTGTGGGGCCGTGCTGGTGGCAGAGAGGTGGCTGCTGTCGGCGGCGCACTGCTTCGACCTGTGAGTCCCAAACGCTCCAAATGCCCCTGCACGTGTCTGTAGCTCACCCGGAACCGAACTGTTGCCCGAAAACGCACGGTGACACCCTCTTTTGCCGGAGTGCCCTCCCCGACCCCCGCTCCCACTGCCCCAGGCTGCTCCTCCCACCCCCATCCCCACTCCCTGCAGCCCTCCCCTGCCCACCCCCCCCTCAGCCTGACCACCTGGGTTGTCCTACCCCGCGGTCCCCACCTAACCCGGGGGCTGCAGCCCCTCCCAGCTCCAGGCCAAGCCCACGGGGACATTGGGGTCACTTCTTTTCCCCAGCCCTCGCCCCTGGCACTTAGCTCCAGCCCCCGCAAAGCCCGCCCAGTAGAAAGCTGTCCTCCCCAGGGCCCAAGCCCTGGCAGGAGAGGGGTACGGTATTCCAGAGGGGACACCCAGCTCCGGGCCCTGCGGGGCTCGAGGTCAGAAGGGGAGCAGGGGGCGGACCCTCACGTCCACCAGTATTTTCAGAGCGCTAATATTAGGTGGTGATGACTGCAATCCTTGGTGCTGCCTCGGTGCCTGGTGGGGGACACTGAGCCCATTCCCAGACTGGCAGCCAGAGACCAAGAGGCCAAGAACCCTGGTCGGCCCCTGGGGGACACCGCAGGGGCAGGGGCCGGGGGCGCGGGGGCTCTGGCCGACGCCTGTCCTCGCGCGCCCTCCAGCTACGGGGACCCCAAGCAGTGGGCAGCCTTCCTAGGCACGCCGTTCCTGAGCGGCCCGGAGGGGCAGCTGGAGCGCGTGGCGCGCATCTACAAGCACCCGTTCTACAATCTCTACACGCTCGACTACGACGTGGCGCTGCTGGAGCTGGCGGGGCCGGTGCGCCGCAGCCGCCTGGTGCGTCCCATCTGCCTGCCCGAGCCCGTGCCGCGACCCCCAGACGGTGCGCGCTGTGTCATCACCGGCTGGGGCTCGGTGCGCGAAGGAGGTAGGCGCGCCCGGGGCCGGGGTGGTGCGGGGTGCAGGGCAGCAGCCGGAAGGGGTCCCCACCCGCCCCATCTCGCTCGTCCGCAGGCTCCATGGCGCGGCAGCTGCAGAAGGCGGCCGTGCGCCTCCTCAGCGAGCAGACCTGCCGCCGCTTCTACCCGGTGCAGATCAGCAGCCGCATGCTGTGTGCCGGCTTCCCGCAGGGCGGCGTGGACAGCTGCTCGGTGAGCCTCGGCCCGGCCTGGGCGACCAGGGGCCCAGGTCCCGCCCAGCCGCCCGGGAGGGAGGGTTCCCGCTGCCACGAAGCCCACCGTCCGGGCGCCACGCTCCGGTGCAGACTTCTCCAGAGGATCAGGCAGGGGGCCTTTTTGGCTCTGGAGGAACTTCCACTCCACAACCGTTTATTGGGTACCCACCGCATCCCACCCCTGGGCCTCAACGGCAGAGCAGGCAGAGGCTGCAGCGGGAGGCCCCATTCCACTCCGGGACCACGTGGCGGGTGTCCATCAATGTCTGCCACCTTTGCATTGAGCCCATTTTCCAGATAGTGAAAATGCAGCTTCCAAGGGAAGCCACTCACTACGGTCACCCCTACGGGGGCCAATGACCCAAGGGCTGCTGTAGGGGAGGTACCAGACTCTGAACCCCCGCTTCTCTCCCCATCAGGGTGACGCTGGGGGACCCCTGGCCTGCAGGGAGCCGTCTGGACGATGGGTGCTAACTGGGGTCACCAGCTGGGGCTATGGCTGCGGCCGGCCCCACTTCCCAGGTGTCTATACCCGGGTGGCAGCTGTGAGAGGCTGGATAGGACAGCACATCCAGGAGTGACCGCCACGTGATTGCCCAGGCCGGGACTCTAGGAGAAAGCAGCAGGAGCAGCAGGCCACCCAACACCCCACCTCACTGTACCCTACCCAAGGACGGGAGTGGGGGGGGGCTGTGGGTCATGGGGATGCATTTTGGTAGCACCCTTTGTTCCAATAAACACAACTGCTCCACCCCGGCTCACTGGCTCAGCACCTCAGTGTCACAGCGCGGACCACCTGCCTGGCGCTCCAACAGGACCCGGGTGGAAGGAAGAGGGGTCAAAGCAAGCCTGGACAAGGGGAGGGCTGTCCCCCTTAGCCTTTGGGACAGGGGTGGTGGCAACAACACATTCCTCGTGACTCAGCAGCCCGGTGGCACTTAAGGGGAAAGATGGACTTCTCCCAACCCAGGAGAGGCTGAGACCCTCCGAACTGGGGTTCCAGGGACACGCGTCAACTCTTCCCAGAGATCCCTCAGGAGGGAAATAAAGAGGTTTCTCTCCGCCCTCCACCAATTTATTTGCCCATCCGCAGGAGGTGACAGCTCCGGTGGGGTCTGACCACCCCCACCTCCAAAGTCCAGACAAGAGTTCTCCGCCCAAAAAATATGAGGCTGACCTGGGCCCACTAGGGGAAGACCCCAAAGGCCTGAAGGAGGTGCCACTGGGCTGCCAGCACTTTGGGAAGGCACAGGGCCCCCCCACCCCCGAGATCCAAGCTGCACTGGCTGGCAGGGGGCAAGGCGGGGGGTGGCGAGGACACAGTCCCGTCTGTCCCAGCACCGGTGCCACCCCGCTAAGCCCCGGGCAGGCAGTACGCACATGCGGGCCCCGCCTCTCAGAGCACGTTTGTGGAAAAGAACGGGGCGGGGCGGCCCACGGGCTTGCCAGTCACATGTTGGCTCGTTCCCGCTGCAGCCGCGAGTTGTAGGCGCGGGACACGGTGTTCCAGGCGTCCATGTAGCGGTCCATGCACATAGCGATGCACTTCTGCGGGACCGGAGGGGCGCACGGCTCAGCTCGGGACCTCGCGCCCCCGGGGACCTCCCTCACCCCGGATGCAGGCCGCCCGGGCTGCAGAGTGCACGCGTGCGGTAGCCACTCCGCCGCGCCGCCTCGTTAGTCTGCGCACGCGCAGACGCCTCCCCCACGAATCCAGACCCTCGCGACCCTTGCCCCGAACCTCTGCGGGTCTCACCTGCTCGGAGTTGTCCAGAGAGCCCCCAGGTTTCCCGATACACTTCCGGAAACACTTGTCCGTCATCCTCTGTGAGAGACACGCGAAGCTTTAGCCGCGACGTCCGCCCCCAGGGGTGGCCCTGTCGCCCCAGCGCCCGTCCCCGGCCGGCCCCGCACCTGCAGCAGCTCCTGCGCGTTGGCCACGGCGATCTGCACCTTCACCTGCTCCATTATGAGCCCTGGGTCCAGCTTTCCGCTGCTGGAGCCCCCGAAATCGGAGCCGAAGCCGCCCTCCATGGCTCCGCAAAGTCAACCGGACCGAGGCCGCGTGCGCCGACCCGTAGCTGCGCCGGAAGCGGGCCTCCCGGGGCACCACGGGAAACGGAGTCCACGTGGGCGGGGACGGAAGACTACAACTCCCACAAGACCGCGCGCGCCCGGGCCATTCCAGGTCGCGCGGGGGGCCCTCTGGTCACGCGCCGGCCTGGACCTGCCGTTACCTACAGAAGCCGTGGTTGCGACTCTGCGGGAAGGCGGCCGACTTCGCCCGGGGAGTGGGGGGGCCACTGCGTGCGGCCGAAGCGGATCACTTTGTACACAGGATCCGTCTCCGGCTCGTCCCCCCCCCCCCAAAGAGGCCTGCCGCGCATGCGCACGAGGCAGCCGGCGCGTCTATATGACGTGTTGCTGCCGGGGCGGAGCCCGGTCTCATCACATGATGAAGAGTCCACTGGTGCTACAGCGTCGGAGGCTCACTAGAAAAAACGGGCAGGGTCTCATGCATCACCTGGGGCCTGTGTATACTCGCCAGTCACCTTTTCCTTGAGGGTGGAGGGTTTTAGACATCCGCTTCATTGGGGACAGAGGCCCCGGCTCGAGCTTCCCCGCGCAGGAATAAACTCAAGAGGCAGAACCTAAAATCAAAATGTTTATTGGAGTGTTGTACAAAAGTTTCCAGTCATAAAATGTATATTACAAATCATTGGAAAAAAAAAAAAAAAAGAACACCACATTTGGCATGCATCTTCTTAAAAACCGAATCTCGGAAATGAAAGTCCATGCCAGCCCCAAGGCTACAGCCCAGCTCCGTTTGCAGGTTGTGCTGTGACGCTCGCTGGACGCAGGGCTTGGAAGACGCTGCAGGCGGCGACGCCCCAGGACTGAGTCCCTTGGATCTTTAACAAGGAACTGCCCCGTGCAGGCCTCAGACCAACCCCAGCCAAAGCCGCTGGCATGAGGACAGGTGCATGATCGGATTCTGGGTCAGCCCGCAGGCCTCCTGGCTCCTGGGCTCAGCGGGGCAGGCTTCCGCGTTAACCTTGGGCTGTGCACCCCAGAACCCGCGTTGGTCCAGCAGCCGTGGGCCTCCCCCCAGGGCTGGGCGGCGTCTGATGCTTCGCAGGGAGGGCGCTAGGCTTGGAGTCACAGCATGGGCTTACACAGAGGGATGGTTTCGCATCGTTCTAAGCGGCACACAGCTAAGCGTATTTGGGGACAAATGCAAATTGTTTCCCAGGCCATAAATAACTTCTAAAACTTTGATTTTCTTAGTGTTTCCAAAGACTCAATTCTCAATGAACCTCCAATCACCCACAGGATGCACAGTCCACACCTCTCCCCACTCCCTTCAGCTAAGGGCACCTGCAGTCCTAGGACCACCCTCAGCCTCCACCCAAGGCAAATGTAGGGCGGGGGGTTCTGTGGACCTGGGGCGTGCTGTGTTCAGGACAGGGCTGGGCAGTGTCTGGACACCAGGACCTGCCGGTTTTGGGGGGGGACTTTGTCCCTGAGCCCAGCCTGTGAAGCTGTCAGCAAATTGCAGACCAACTCCAGGATACAGCTTTGCTCCCCCAGGCCCAAAATACGTAGGATGTGGCTGAGACCACTGCATACTCTGCACAGGACAAGACCACCAAGACCCACCCCCGGAACACTCGCTGGCACGAAGCCTGGCCACTGGAGTCCAGGTGATTCCTGCCATGAAGGTGGGGAAGAGGAGTCTGTCGCCAGCACTCCCACTTCCAGCGGCTGGCAGAGGGTATCCCTGGGGTGGGCAAAGCTCCCCACCAGCCACCTGACTGGGAGCACAGCGTGGTAGCCTGTCGGGCCCCTCCAGGAGGAAATGCTTTGGTAAGACACGCCCCCCTTGATCCACATGGGACAGGGACTTCTTTTTTTTTTTTTTTTGAGACGGAGTCTCGCTCTGTCGCCCAGGCTGGAGTGCAGTGGCCGGATCTCAGCTCACTGCAAGCTCCGCCTCCCGGGTTCACGCCATTCTCCTGCCTCAGCCTCCCGAGTAGCTGGGACTACAGGCGCCCGCCGCCTCGCCCGGCTAGTTTTTTGTATTTTTTAGTAGAGACGGGGTTTCACCGTGTTAGCCAGAATGGTCTCGATCTCCTGACCTCGTGATCCGCCCGTCTCGGCCTCCCAAAGTGCTGGGATTACAGGCGTGAGCCACCGCGCCCAACCGGGACAGGGACTTCTGAGAGCAAGGACAGCGAGCGGGGGCTACATGGAGCAGCGGGTGTTTCTGCTTTGTCAGCCGCTGGCTACTTCCCGGCCTGGGGCTGGGGCCCCCCATTCCTTCCTCCCACTGGCAAGTCCCCAGGGAGACGGGATGCACAGTGACAGGGGAGCGGTGCCGCCCCCACCCTGCCAAGGCCTGGAGACGGCGCGTGCCAACGGCTCAGTTTTGGTGGCTTTAAGACTCGAGCTGCACTTTCTGAAGGAGGCTTTGCTGTCAGAGTGACCCCCAGTCCCACACCACCCCGGGGAGGAGAGTCAGCCTGTCCTCAAGGCCCTGGCGTGAGCTCCTGACCTGCGTACTGACTAATGTAAAAAAATAAATATCCATTAAAAAAATAACTTCTGTGTATCTATGAGGGAGGGTGTAGACGGTGAGCTATTGCCAAAGGGGGTGCCAGGCGTTGGGAAGCTGGACTGAGGGGCTTGGGGGCATCGTGATAGGAGTCAGGTGGCCTTGGCCTATCTGAGAAACATGGCTTCAGCGAGAGAATCACAGATGAAAGTTACAGTATGGATAGATGCGTGTGTGTATCTAGGCACAGGGCAGACGGAGCCGGAACCCGGGAGGGGCTCCACAGCGCTCTCCTCCAGGGAGTCCACATGGTGGCGTTCCCTGCAGACAGCTGTTCTGAAACTCACAGCCTCTGCCTCCGAGGCAACCAGCTGTGTCCCCTCCCTGCTTAATGTGACAGGTCTTACAACGGGACTGTCCTCATTCTCCCTTCCCCGGGTCTTCCCCTCCCCTGCCCTGTTGGCCCTGCAGAGTCAGGAACTGACCTGAGGGAAAACTCCCCCAAATAAAGTCAACGGTCCGAGAAACCCGGCCGGTGGGCTGTCAGAACGGCAATCTGGAAGCCCAGGCAGCGGAGCGAAAACCCACCCTGGGGGCCATGCCACCCCCACGCTGCTCCACACCCACTGCGTGGCTGCCTGAGGAGCTCCTGCTGTCAGAAGCTGGGCAGCCAGAATGCAGGCTTGGCCCCCGGCCCCACCAGGTCGACGCCTGGATTCTGAATTTGGTTTTGTAGAAAGCCTTCAAAAAACCCACCACCACTGAATTCCTACGCGGTTTCCGCGCTCTGTTCGCATCGGGGCCGTCTCCTGTCCCCGCTCTAGCCTCGCCGGCCCTCCTCCCTCCAAGCCCGAGCATCTTCTAAACCTCGGGGTCCTGGCCCTGGGCTTCCAATTTGACCAAATGGTGAGATGGGGAGTGGGGTGGGACTGAAAAGTCTCCGGGGCAGCGGTGAAGTGGCAGCGAAGTGAGGCTGGAGGATACCCACCCACACGTTCTGGCAGTTTGCTTAGAAATTCTCTAGAAATGTATCAAGAACTAAAGAAAGCCAATGATATAAAAATAGTTTTCAGTGGCTCTGGGTAAAGAAAGGTGTGTGGATGAGGAGTGTGGGTTCACATCACGTAGCAGCCTCTCGAGGTGGTCCTCGGGTCCCCCTGCAGGAAGGAAGGAAGGAAGGACGGCCATGATCAGGGCCAGCCTGGAGGCGGCCAGCAGGTAGACGGCTACCCCTACCTCCCCACCAGGGAGGGGCTGAGCGACAGCAGTGTCTACTTCTAGAGCCTTCCATTCCACTTCCACTTCCCCATGAGCCCGCCTGTGAGCGACACGTTCTGTTTTGGGTTCCAAAACAAATCACAGGAATCTTGCGATACGTGCATTTACCGCAGTGTGGCTTCGGCACTCATCTTCTCCCCAAAAGCCAATATTGAAGGGACCTGTGTCTTTGACTGAGGAAGCCTGGTTGACCAGAGAGCATCTGGGAGCTGTTCAACACCCACCTCTCAGGGGACCCCCTGGCCAGCTACCCTGAGGTCTGTGATGTCACAAATCCACATGACGGGCGCGACCCAGGAGGCAAGAACAGGTCTGTGCCGTGCCCGTAACAGCCAAGGCTGGCTTCACCCTGAACCACGGCAGCCAGATGGAGCTCCCGCCGGGGATGCGGCAAGCACACGTGTGTGTGCGTGCAGGAGCTCACTCTGCCCCAGAGGCTGCCCCCCAGCCGCAGGTGGGCACCGGGGTCCTACCTGTTGGTGGAAAAGATCCTCCTCGCCGAACTCAGCTTCCTCCTCCTCTTCCTCCCCATTCTCATTCTCTCGCACCACTGAGGACTGCTTCACAGTCCTCATGGCCACTTCCTGTGTGGGACAGGACACGGCAGCGCGTCCAGGGATCAGGCCCAGAGCTGCCGTGGCCGCCCCGAGAGTCCCCAGGCCCCGCTCAGGACTCTAGCCGAGCACCCCCCAAGCTGGGCACCTACCTCGCCATCCGCGTTAACCAGGACGGTGCGGAAGCTCTCGCCCGTGCCCCAGCTGCTCTGGCCCTTCCACACCAGCGTCGAGGGGGGGCTGTGGGCCACTCCAGCACCAGCGGCCCACACCTGGGGACCCAGGAACAATGGCCCCGTCAGGGTCCCCTCTGGTTCCAGGGATGTGGGTCAGCCACTGGCTCCTACCGCACAGCCCCCTTCAAGGCCCTCAATGCCCTGGGCATTCAGTCCTTCTAGCCTGACGCAGGCTTACCCAGGGTGATGGCCCCCAGGATACAGAAGAGACCAGGCTTCTCTTGGCAAGCAGGGCTGAGCTGGGATCTGAGGCCCACCAGGCTCCACGGCCCATGCCCTTGACTGTTACACTTCACGGGGACGCCTGCCAGCCCCAACGGCCTGGACTCAGACCCAGGGCACATAGCTCAGACTCCAGGGAGGCCCAGTGGGGTGACACCGGCACATGGAGGTTCTATGACTGCGGCAGCTACTCTTAGACAGTGCCTGGTGCCACCACCATCCCTAGCCCCTACCAAGTCCTGCTCCTCCAGCCCCCTGGCCCCACCTCACATCCCATCTGTGGCCACCCTCGCCCTCCTGCCCCACCACCTACCGTGACCATCTGGCCAGCGCGCAGGACGTACTTGGGCGTGAACTTGTAGGCGATCTCCTCCCCCTCCAAGATCTGCCTCTTAATTCTCCAGTTCCCCAGAGACTGATCCTGGAAGGCACGGCGCACACCTGACCCTCAGCCACCAGGACTGGGACACCGCCCCGATCGCCCTGGCTGGTGGCCCCGTCACCCTGACCCTGGTCACCCCCACCAGCTGGGTCACCCCGTTACCCCTGTGCCCCGGTCATTCCGGTCACCTTGTCCCCTGCCTCGCATTGGCCGGTGGCCCCATCACCCTGACCCTGGTCACCCCCATCAGCTGGGTCAACCCATTACCCCGTCCCAGTCATTCCGGTCACCTTGTCAGAGTTGTTCTTGAGCTGCACGAACTTGCCCTCCAGGTCGATCTCCTCGATGCTGACACTGCCCGAGGCCGAGGCCTGCTGGGCCAGGTGGAAGCCGCCACCACCACCCGTGCCCGTGCCCAGGACGCTGGGGCCGCTGCCCAAGGGCTCCTCCACCTCCAGCCTCTTCCGCTTACTGCGGCCCAGGCGCCCAGTGGCCGACGTGCTGCCGCCGCTGCTGCTCGAGGTGGCTCGTGAGACGGTGACGCGCGAGGATGGGCTGGGGGACAGCTTCAGCCTGTGGGGAAAGAAAGGAGGGCCGGACTGGTGGTGGCAGCCCCGGACAGCCCAGGGCACGCAGAGTGGCGGCCGCGGTCCAGCCCCACCTCCACCCCTGCCCAGCACTCCCAGCAGCCCCGTCTCGCCTCTCCTCCTACCCCGCCCCTCCTCGCTCCGCGCCCCCAAGCCCCCAGGCCTGCCGCACCTCTCCTCTTCGCCCTCCAGGAGCTTCCGGTAGGCGTTGATCTCCATGTCCAGGGCCAGCTTCACGTCCAGCAGCTCCTGGTATTCGGCCAGCTGCTGCTGCATCACGTCCCGCATCTCCGTCATCTCTTGCTCCTTGGCGTCCAGCATCTTCCGGAACTTGTCCCGCTCCCCGGCCATGGCCTCCTCCAGCTCCCGGATGCGATCTTCAGCGGCGCTGGCCTGCGGAGGGGGCGGGCGGCGAAGGTCAGGGCAGCCCCTGAGTCACAAGGCCCGGGTGATCCTGGGACTGCGGGAGAGGGGCCCTCACCGCAGACTGGGGCAGAGACCAGGGCTGGGCATGGGGCGCACGGGACGGGAGGGAAGGGGCATCTCTGGGCGCCCCGAGGGCTCCATCCACTGCCAAGAGGCCAGAGCCCCGCGCCCCGCACATCCGGGACAGGGCGAAGAGGTCGGGCCAGGGGGCCGGCGGGCGGTGGCGCTGTGCGCGTCACCTGCTTCTGGAGGCCGGAGAGCTGGTAGCTGAGGGACTCCAGGCGCATGCGGGCCTCCTTCAGCTCCTCGCGAGCCGCACTGGCCGCCTTGTCGTTCTGGTCAGAGCTCAGCTTGGCGCTGTCCAGCTGTGGGGAGATGGGCAGGTGAGCGCGGGCGCGGGGTGGGGGTCCCACCGGCCACCCCTGCCCACCCGCCCGCCGGCCACACCTTGGCCTGGTAGGTCTGCTCCAGCTCCAGCTTGTAGAGCCGCACTTGCTCGTCGTGCTGGCTCCGCAGCTCCTCCAGCGCCTGTGCCATCTTGAAGTCATACTCCTGCTGCCGGCTGCTATCCACCTCCACCAGGCGCCGCTCGTGCCGCCGCCGCGTCTCCCGCACCTCCTGCGGACCGAGGCCTCATGACCCTCCGGTCCCGCCTGGGCCCCAAGCACCAGGCCTAAGGGAGGGCTCCAAAATGTGCCAAGAGGAACCTCCAGGCAGTTCCTGGTTCCTTGTGCACAAGTTACAAACCGATACACGTGCAGGTGAGAGGCGGCCCAGGGGCCATCCACGCGCTAGAACGGACTCAGCCACAAAAAGGAGTGAGGCTCTGACACCGCCAGGCATGAATGCACCTTGAGGACGTCACACTCAGCGAGAGAAGCCAGACAGAAAACGCCACCGTGTGTGATCCCATTTCCATGAAATGTCCAGGACAGGCCCATCCATGGAGACAGGGAGGGGATGGGTGGGTACCGGGGCTTGGGAGTGACTGCTGATGGCGGGGGGGGGGGGTTCTTTTTGGGTGATGGAATGTTCTAGAATTAGAGGTGGTGGTTACAAAACCCTGTGGAGATCCTGCCAATGCTGAACTGTACACTTTAAAAAGGTGGACTTAAAATAGCCGGGTGTTGTGGCGGGCGCCTGTAGTCCCAGCTACTCGGGAGGCTGAGACAAGAGAATCGTTTGAACTTGGGAGGTTGCAGTGAGCCAAGATCGCATCACTGCACTCCAACCTGGGCAACAGAGGGAGACCGTGTCTCTCAAAAAAAAAAAAAAAAAAAAAAAAATTAATCTCTCATAAAAGCCATTATTGAAGAAAGCGGGCCAGGCGTGGTGGCTCACACCTGTAATCCCAGCACTTTTGGGAGTTCGAGGTAGGCGGATCACCTGAGGTCAGGAGTTTCAGACCAACCTGGCCAACACAGAGAAACCCCATCTCTACTAAAAATACAAAACAGCCAGGTGTGGTGGTAGCGGGCGCCTGTAATCCCAGCTACTCTAGAGGCTGAGGGAAGAGAATTACTTGAACCCTGGAGGTGGAGGTTGCAGTGAGCTGAGATCACGCCACTGCACTTCAGCCTGGGCGACAAAGCAAGACTCCATCTCAAAAACAAACAAAAATCAAAACAAAGAAAGTGAATTACTGATGTTCGCACCTCAGGGCCCAAATTACAGGGGGGCAGCAGACCCGGCCCTGACAGTGATGGGATGCCCGGGCCACAAGGCAGGGGAACCACAGGGCAGCTGTCTCGACACAGGGTGGGGTCACACCAGGGCAGAGGCACCAACTGGAGCTCACATGGCTCTCAGGAAGGAAACGGCCCCTTCCTCCTCTTCCCAACTCCCCCTACTCCGCGACAGAAACCATGTCACTTATCACCACGGGACTGGTTTATAAAAACAGCAGAGGCTGGGCGCGGTGGCTCACGCCTGTAATCCCAGCACTCTGGGAGGCTGAGGTGGGCAGATCACGAGGTCAGGAGTTCAAGACCAGCCTGGCCAACATGGTGAAACCCCATCTCTATTAAAAATACAAAAAATACACCAGGCTCAGTGGCTCATGCCTGTAATCCCAGCACTTTGGGAGGCCGACGCAGGCGGATCACAAGGTCAGGAGTTTAAGACCAGCTGACAAACATGGTGAAACCCTGTCTCTACTAAAAATACAAAAATTAGCTGGGTGTGGTGATGCGCACCTATAATCCCAGCTACTCAGGAGGCTGAGGCAGGAGAATCGCTTAAACCCGGGAGGCAGAGGTTGCAGTGAGCTGAGATGGTGCCACCATACTCTAGCCTGGGTGACAGAGCAAGACTCAAAACAAAAAAAGAAAAAAAATTAGCTGGGTGTGGTGGCGCTCACCTACAATCCCAGCTACTCTATAATCCCAGCTACTCGGGAGGCTAAGCCCAGCGTGGGCAAAAGCAAGACTCCATCTCAAAACAAACAAACAAAAAAATAGCAGAAACGCTTCTGAAGGAAGTTGGCTACCTTTGCAGTCAGCGAGGTGGATGGCCCAGCCAAGCAGAGCTCTGCGAGCTGCGCACCCACCCCCACAGCCACCCTCCCGCCTCCACGGCTGCCCTCTCCAGGACTCCGCACCCTGTGGGCTGCACGGGCCTGCGTCAGGCTCCCTACCGCAGCTCCCTGTGAGGGCTCCGCGGGGGTCTCTTCCCAGCCCCTGCACAGCCTTCGTGGGTCTCTTCCCAGGTGCCCTGTGGGCTCTACCTGGGGCATGTTCCTGCGCCCCCGCACAGAAGCCCTCATGAGTCTCTTCACGGGCTCTCTCACAGGCTCCTCCATAGACCCCCTCACAACTGCCCTGGCGGCCTTCCCTCTGGCTCCTGTGGGGGCCCTCGCACGCTCTGGGCCTGGCCGGAGCGGGGCACGGCTCCTGAGCAGCCTGGACATCCCTCCACCAGCAGTCAGCAGCTCTCCCTGGGCAGTGAGTGTGGGCCCGGCCAGCCCCGGCGTTCCACCCTGCACTGTGACATCACAATTGGTTGTAAGGGACACAGGCCGACAACGCCTTCTCTCCCCACTCCCCTCTCTGAGCCCCTGGAGGCAGAGGCCCCAGGAAGGAGGCTGGGTGGGGAGCGCAGGCCCCACCCTCACTTTGGACAAGGAGGCCCTGTGGGAGGCTGGACAGTGGCCCCCAGAAGGTGCCCCTGACGCCTGCCTCATGGTCTAGTGGTTAGGATCCCAGGCAGCGGGGGTTCTGCTCTCAGGGGTCTAGTGGTTAGGATCCCAGGCAGCGGGGGCTCTGCTCTCAGGGTGGGAACACCAAGCTTTTAGAAAGGCAAGAAATCACAGGAGACCTTCCTTGACACTGAAGAGATGTGTTTCGGCCGGGCGCGGTGACTCACGCCGGGAATCCCAGCACTTTGGGAGGCCGAGGCGGATGAATCACCTGAGGCCAGAAGTTCGAGACCAGCCTGGCCAACCTGGTGAAACCCCGTCTCTACTAAAAATACAAAAATTACCTGGGCATGGTGGTGCACGCCTGTAATCCAGCTACTTGGGAGGCTGAGGCAGGAGAATTGCTTGAACCTGGGAGGTGGAGGTTGCAGTGAGCCAAGATCGTGCCACCACATTCCAGCCTGGGCGACAGAGCAAAACTCCATCTCAAAAAAAAAAAAACAAAAAAAAGGCCAGGCGCGGTGGCTCAAGCCTGTAATCCCAGCACTTTGGGAGGCCGAGACGGGTGGATCACGAGGTCAGGAGATCGAGACCATCCTGGCTAACACAGTGAAACCCCGTCTCTACTAAAAAATACAAAAAAACTAGCCGGGCGAGGTGGCGGGCGCCTGTAGTCCCAGCTACTCGGGAGGCTGAGGCAGGAGAATGGCCTGAACCCGGGAGGCAGAGCTTGCAGTGAGCTGAGATCCGGCCACTGCACTCCAGCAAGGGGGACAGAGTGAGACTCCGTCTCAAAAAAAAAAAAAAAGATGTGCCCACGTCCCCATCCCCAGCAGCTGTGAATGGACCTTATTTGGAAATGGGGTCTTTGCAGATGCCATTACGTCACTATGGATGATCCAGGCAGGCCCAAGTCCAATGACAAGTGTCCTTGCAGGATACAGAGTATGGACACAGAGGGGAGGCAGCGTGGGAAGACAGAGGCAGGCACTGGGGAGATGCAGTCGAAGCCAAGGGCGCCCTGAGAGGCAGGAAGGAGCCTCCCTGGAGCCGTGAGGGTGGACTTTGCGCTTCTGCTGTGCCAGGCTGGAGGCCAGGCTGCTCACTCACCTCCTCGAACACACTCTTCCGGAAGTCCAGCTCCTCCTGCAGGCTCTGGCAGCGGTTCTCCAGGTCCACACGCATCAGCGTCTCCTTCTCCAGCTGCTTTTTGGCCACTGCATGACCGTCCTCGGCCTGGGAGACACAGGACAGCGAGCCGTGTGACAACGTGTCTGCTGCAAACGCCCTGCTGGGGTGTCCCATGGCCCCTGGCACCTACCTTGGCCAGCTGGGCCCGCAGCTCGGCCACGTCACTCTCCAGGCCACGCTTGTCGCTGAGGGCAGCTGCCAGCTCCACCTCGCTCCGGTGGAACAGGGACTCCAGGTCCTTCACACGGCCCTGGGCCACCGTGAGCTCTCCCTCCCTCTTCTTGGCGCTGAAAGTCAAGAGGGCAAGTGAGCGGGGAGGGGCAAGGTCCATGGGGCCGCAGGGAGCACCTCAGGGGGCGTCAGGCAAGCCCAAGGACAAGGTCACCGGGGCTTCTGAGCCCCAGACCTTCCCGTCCCACAGACGACGCAGCCCCATGCACCCAGGCAAAGGCACACGTGCCCTCATCGTCTGCCCTGCACTGTCAGGAGTCCAGCAAGTGACAGCCACCAGTGCTTGGGACCACCCTGGAGGTGTGGGCTTTTCCAGCCTCTCCTGCCCATTCTGGAACCAGGAGGACCACTTGGGAAGAAATTAATGCATCCTCTATTAATGTTACAAAGGAAGACCCTGGCCTTTGAAGAGTCGGCCTTGTTTGTAAACTTGAACTGTCTGAAGCAGGCTTACCTGGTCTTCCACTAAACCAAATTAGCTCCAACATTAGATATTTAAGATAGCAAATACTCAGGCTTTTTAAACACACAAATACTACCAGTGTGGATTTTAGGCATTTTTTTTTTTTTTTTTTTTTTAAGAGACAGGGGTTCACTTGTTTGCACAGGCTGGTCTCGAACTCCTGGCCTCAAGGAATCCTCCTGTCTCAGCCTCCCAAAGTGCTGGGATTACAGGTGTGAGCCACCCCTCCCCGCAGGGAACTAACTATATCTCCCAAGCAACAGTGAGGACACCCACGGTTTCTCAGCGTCAGAACTGCTGACATTTGGGGCGGTCCTGGGCACTGCAGGGTGCTGAGCCCTGTCCCTGGCCTCCACCCACTTCAGACCAGAAGCCTCTCGCTGCCCAGTTTTGACAACCACAAATGTCCCCAGGAATCACCCAGTGTCCCCTGGGGACAGAATCACCCCAGGATGGGGACAACTGGGTGTATCTGGAATAACACAGCAAAGGCTGCTGGCTGGACATGAAAAGCACATCCACATCCAGGCGGCTGGAGCCCGTGGCCAGAGGCCAGAAGTGACAGGGACCCTCTCCCACCCAGCAGAATGCTGTGTTCCCGACTCTGCCTAGAGCCTTTCTTTTTTTTTTTTGAGTTGGAGTTTCACTCTTGTTGCCCAGGCTGGAGCGCAATGGTGTGATCTCAGCTCACTGCAACCTCCGCCCCCCAGGTTCAAACGATTATCCTGCCTCAGCCTCCCAAGTAGCTGGGATTACAGGCATGAGCCACCAGGCTCGGTTAATTTTATATTTTTAGTAGAGATGGGGTTTCTCCATGTTGGCCAGGCTGGTCTCGAACTCCTGACCTCAGGTGATCTACCCGCCTCGGCCTCCCAAAGTGCTGGGATTACAGGCATGAGCCACCGTGCCCGGCCCCCCAGTGCCCTTCAAAAGACCACCTAGGCATTTGCCCAAGAACTGAAAGTGACCACCTGTCTAACTGTATCTCCATCAACAACTGTATTTATCTATATTATCTATGTGCATATATATCAATCTACAGATAGCTGTATCTTTCTCTCTTTCTTTTTTATTTTTTTGAGACGGAGTTTCACTCTTGTTGCCCAGGCTGGAGTGCAATGGCACAATCTTGGCACACCCCAACCTCCGCCTCCTGGGTTCAAGCAATTCTCCTGCCTCAGCCTCCCAAGTAGCTGGGATTACAGGCATGCACCAGCACGCCCAGCTAATTTTGTATTTTTAGTAGAGACGGGGTTTCTCCATGTTGGCCAGGTTGGTCTTGAACTCCCGACCTCAGGTGATCCACCTGCCTCGGCCTCCCAAAGTGCTGGGATTACAGGCGTGAGCCACCGCGCCCGGCCTTACAAATAGCTATATCTATCTATTGCTGTATCTATCACTGTCTATCTATCTATCTATCCATCTACCCATCATCCATCCATCCATCCATCCATCCATCCATCATCCACCCATCTCTCTCTCTCCCACTAGCTGCCAAGCTCTCACTCTCTGTGGGACTCTTCCTTCCTTCCTTGTGTGACCCAGGAAGGGAGGGCTGCCCTCCCAGCTCACAGTGCCCTCCCTGCCCAGGATCTGTAATAAATCCTCAAACTTGTTTCCTATCGCTGTGCTGAATTTGCACCTTCTGTCAGAAGAACCAGGAGCTGCCCCAAGCTGGGATCCCAGTGCCAGAGCGATGGTCAGGCAGGCAAACGCCGGACATGGGTCAGACGAGAGCTACAGGGCAGCCCGTGTGTAAACAGCCTCTCCTGTGAGGGGTCCCTGGTCGGGGGTCAGACAACCAGGTCTAAGGCCACCTGCCAGGTAAAAGCATCCGTGCCAGGTGCACTGAACCCCAGGTCTGGCTCCTGTTGTGTCCCGCCAGGGGCAGGGCTGCCAGCCGCTCTGGCGCTGGACCTGGTGAAGCCAGGGCTCTCCACACTGGAGATGTGGCATCTGCTTGCGTTTGAGAGGTATGAAGGCCAGACTTCGGCCACAAAGCTGACGCGCCCCCATCGGCAGCCCTCAGGGACACTCAGCTCTACTTCCCCGCATGGAGCAGATCTCCAGCAGGGCCTGGGATGCAGATCCCGTATCTCTAAGCACATGCCACCCAGGCCAGGCCCTTCTGCTCAGAGGGTGGCGAGCCCCGCGGCCCTGCAGGGGATTTTTGCAGGGGTCTGGGGGGAGCTGGAGTCTGTTGGGTAAATCCTGACCGAGTGCCCGCTGTGTGGAAGGCACCACTCTCACACCAGAGGTGCGTCTAGAACCCTTGCCTTACACTGCGGGATGTCCTTGCAGGGGGAGGCACCAGCGACACAGGCTGCCCACCAGATGGGAGGCTGCCTGCGGGCAGGGCTGAAGCGGGGCTGGGAGACAACCCTGAGGGCAGAGACCTGAAGGAGCAGTGCTGGAGGAGCCAGGGCCACCGCTGCTGAAACAGCCTTCCAGGCAGGCGAACAGCAGCCCAAAGGCCCAGGGGTGAGGTGGAAGAGGCAGGCTGCAGACCAGCTCAGAGGACTGGAGCAGAGATCAGGGTATCTGGGAATCTCCTCAATAACTCGGTCTAAACCACAAGGTTCCGCAGGACTGCAGGGCACGCCCAGAAGGCAGGGTGCTGGCTACCAGGGCTCAGACCCGGTTCCTAAGAGCACCAGGCGCTGAGTTAGAATCTTCAGCTGTGTACCCGGGGTTTCGTGGCAGGCTCTGGCTTGTCAGGTCCTGCACGCTGCTCCTTGTGTTTCTCTCATTGTGGGGTTTTGGAGATAAATTTGTTAGGATAGGAAAAACACTAGGCTTGGCCTAGTGGCTCATACCTATAGCCAGCGCTTTGGGAGGCCGAGGTGGGAGGATCTAGCCCGGGAGTTCAAGACCAGCTTGAGCAACATAGCGAGACCTCATCTCTACAAATAATTAAAAAATTAGGCCAGGTACAGTGGTTCACACCTGTAATCCCAGCACTTTAGAAGGCTGAGGCAGGTGTATCACTTAAGTCCAGGAGTTTGAGACCAGCCTGGCCAACATGGTAAAAAAAAAAGTAGCCGGGCATGGTGCTGCGAGCCTCCAGCTACTCAGGAGGCTGAGGCAGGAGAATCATTTGAATTTGGGAGCTGGAGGTTGCACTGAGCTGAGATCGCACCACTGCACTCCAGCCTGGGTGACAGAGCAAGCCTATGTCTCAAAAATAAATAAATAATAAAAAATAAAAAAATTAGCCGGGTGCAGTGGTGCCTTCCTGTGGTCCCAGGTACCCGGGGCGGGGCTGAGGCAGGAGGATCACCTGAGCCTGGGGGTTCGAGGCTGCAGTGAGCTGTGATTGTGCCACTGAACTCCAGCCTAGGCAACAGAGACCATGTCTCAATGAAAAGGAAAAGATGGGCCTCACTGCAGACGCCACGCACTGCTCTGGAGATTGTGAACTGGGAATTCCTCAACACCTAGGGCGGGCACTGTGTAGCATTTTCTTTTTTTAATGTTTTAATTTGAGGTGAAATTCACATCCTGTAAATTTCAACTTCTTTTTTTTTTTGTTTGGTTTTCTTTTTTTTGTTTTTTGAGACGGAGTCTCGCTCTGTCGCCCAGGCTGGAGTGCAGTGGCGCGATCTCGGCTCACTGCAAGCTCCGCCTCCTGGGTTTACACCATTCTCCTGCCTCAGCCTCCTGAGTAGCTGGGACTACAGGCGCCCGCCACCGCGCCCGGCTAATTTTTTGTATTTTTAGTAGAGACGGGGTTTCACCGTGGTCTCGATCTCCTGACCTTGTGATCCGCCCGCCTCGGCCTCCCAAAGTGCTGGGATTACAGGCGTGAGCCACCGCGCCCGGCCAAATTTCAACTTCTTAAAGTGAACAGTTGAGAGGTGCCTGGTACAGGGCCAGCAGCAGCTCTGTCCCGTCTGCACGGTGCAGTTCTGACATTTCAGAGCTCCGTGCACCCCTGTCCAAGCTCTAATCATGCCAGAGCCTGCATGGCCCCACTAATGAACCTGCTTATTAAGCACGGTGGGTGCTGAAGGCAGACAGCTCAGAGCCGCTGCCCGAGCAGGTCCCGGGGTACACCTGTGCTGTGTGGGATGTGCTGAGAGTGGGCAGCCTGTCCTCATTCGTGCCTGGCCCCAGGGTCCCCAGCTCCTGGCCACCATCAGGCGCAAATGGTCCCTCCTGGAGCCCCAGGCCCCGGGCAGGCGGGCAGTGGTCCCTGGGCCAACCTGGAGGGTCTCCTGTTGGCGAAGGGAAGCCAGCTCTCCATGGCAGCAGCACCAGCCCAGGCAGAGGGAGGGCGTCGGATGGAGAAGTCCCGCCCACCCGTGGTGCCGGGATCAGGGTGACGTCGTGCCCAGCCATGACCACTCACCTCTTGTTGACCTCGTCCAACTCTGCCCTCAGCTTCCCAATCTCTATCTGCAGCCGGGCGCGCTCTCGAGCTGTCTCATCCAGGACTCTCCGGGCGTCGGCCAGCTCTGACTCGTACAGCGCCTTGATGCCACTCACCTGGGGAGACCCAGGACAGGGTGAAGTGAGGAGGGACCCTTCCCCTTGGACTGCAGCAGCCTGGGGGCCCGGTCACTGGCCCCGCTCAGATTCCCGGGGACTGGCACGCAGAGCCAGAGGATGGCAGCCTGGGGACAGCCTGGACCAGCACAGCAGCTGGATGGAGCCTGTCCCCTTCCCCGGAGGACTGGCCACACCCAGACACGCAGCCCCTTGGCTGCTCTCATAGCGACATGAGGCCTGGCCATTAGGTGCATTTTTCACACTCTTGGTTTCAGAACCAGAAAATTGGTGGGACATTTAATCAAGGATCTCTCCCGCTGGGCACGTGGACACTGAGCTGATCACTCTCGGACAACTGGTGATGACAGCAACCTGGGGCCCTCCCAGACCCCGCTGGGCCCCTGAGACCCTCCACTTCTGCAAGCCAGGGCCCCCTCCCAGGCCTGCTAGGCCCGAGAGCCCCCTGCCCCCACTAGCCTCTGCAACCTGGGGTCCCCTTCCAGACCCCTCTGGGCCCCTGAGACTGCCCCCAGGCCTCTGCAACCCGGGGCTCCCTCCCAGACCCTGCTGGGCCCAAGACCCGCCCCCCAACCAGTCTCTGCAACCTGGAGACCCCCTCTCAGACCCCGCTGGGCCCAAGATCCCCCACTTCTGCCAACTGGGGGCCAGCCCGTGCCCCTCTATGCCCCCACCTTGCATGCAGGCACATGGCCCAGGCTCAGGCTGGGCTGCTCCCTGGGATGGAGGGAGGAGCATCTGGCCTCCCCCTGCCGTGTCCCCCCCGACAGGCCAGCTGCCAATGTGGTGGCTCAGAGGCTCCCAGACAGAAGCTCCCACCGCTCAATCACAGGGATCTGCAGTCAGAGCCCCCAGCACTCCCCACCACCTCCACCCCCTCCATCAGCTCCCCCCCGCCACCAGCTCCCCCCGCACCAGCTCCCCCCTCACCAGCTCCCCCCTCACCAGCTCCCCCTCAACCAGCGGCCCCCCCACCAGCGGCCCCCACCTTCCACCCCTCAATCACAGGGATCTGCAGTCCCCAGCTCCCCCCACACCAGCTCCCCCCCACCAACTCCCCCCGCACCAGCTCCCCTCCACCAGCTCCCCCCCACCAGCTTCCCCTCAACCAGAGCCCCCCCCTACCAGCGGCCCCCACCTTCCACCCCTCAATCACAGGGATCTGCAGTCCCCAGCTCCCCCCACACCAGCTCCCCACCCCACCAGCCACCCCCACATTTCCCCATGGAGACCCGGCCCAGCCAGCAAGGACGCGGCGAGGGGCTGGGGGGTCACCAGGGCGGGCAGAAGTGACTTGAACACCCTCTGGGCCTCCCGGCTAAAGAAAGCCCCCAAACCCGCCCCTCCCGAGGGCCGCCGGGCGAACTCGAGGCACACGCGGTGCCCGGGAAGGCGACCTCTTCGCTTGCTACTAATCCTGCTGCAACCACAGCCGCCACCTGCCTGGCCTCTGCACGCGCCAGCTGGGGGCACGGCTCAGGCTTCTCGTGGCCTTCCTGCCTCCCCTCCTCCCACAGGACCATGCACTCAATGAGTTTAAACATATGTGGAAGCAAACCGCAGTGAGATGCCACTTCACACCTGCCAGGGCGTCCGTCAAGAAGACAGACGGTCGCAGGTGCGGGCAGTACACAGAGAAATCGGAACCTCACAGACAGCAGCAGGAACCTGAGCTGAGGCAGCCCTACAGAAAACAGCACAGGGGCTCCCCCAAGAGTCACAGAGCCACCCCGTGACCCGGTAACTCCACTCCTGGGTGTGGACCCAGAAGAAATGAAATTCACTTCCATGCATGTTTGAAAACTACACATGGTGCTGGGCGCGGTGGCTCACGCCTGTAATTCCAGCACTTTGGGAGGCCGAGGTGGGCAGATCACGAGGTCAGGAGATCGAGACCATCCTGGCTAACACGGTGAAACCCTGTGTCTACCAAAAACACACAAAAAAATTAGCCAGGTGTGGTGGCAGGCACCTGTAGTCCCAGCTACTCAGGAGGCTGAGGCAGGAGAATGGCATGAACCCGGGAGGCGGACGTTGCAGTGAGCCAAGATCATGCCACTGCGCTGCAGCCTGGGCGACACAGAGACTCTGTCTCAAAAAAACATATACATATGGCCGGGCGCTGTGGCCCAGGGGCCTGTCATCCCAGCACTTCAGGAGGCCGAGGCAGGCAGATCTCCTGAGGTCAGGAGTTCGAGACTGGCCTGACCAACATGGAGAAACCCTGTCTCTACTAAAAATACAAAATTAGCCGGGTGTGGTGGCGGGTGCCTGTAATCCCAGCTACTCCGGAGGCTGAGGCAGGGGAATAGTTTGAACCTGGGAGGCGGAGGTTGCAGTGAGCCAGGATCGCGCCAGTGCACGCCAGCCTGGGCAACACAGTGAAACTCCATCTCAAAAAAAATATATATATGTATATATATATATATATATTCCATTAAAACATTCCTCATCCCATCACCCCAGCGTGACCATGAGAAAAACAACACACAAACCCCCATTAAGGAACATCCTACTGCACACCTGCCCAGCCCCCTCAGGACCAACCAGAACCTCTAACCAGGAATGTGGAGGAAACTATCAGCTCGGAGGAGCCTGGGAGAAAGGGACATGGTCACTAAATGTCACGTGAGATAGTGGATGGGGTCTTGGGGCAGGAAAGGATAGCAGGGGAAACTGAGGAAGTATGAATACATAATGGATCTGCCCGCCTTAGCTTCCCAAAGTGCTGGGATTACAGGAGTTAGCCACCGCACCTGGCATACGATGATGGGAGGCTGAGGCCAGCAGATCACCTGAGGTCAGGAATTCAAAAAAAGTAACTTTTTTTTTTTTTTTAAGACAGAGTCTTGCTCTGTCTCCCAGGCTGGAGTGCAGTGGGGTGATCTCAGCTCACTGCAACCTCCGCCTCCTGGGTTCAAGCGATTCTCCTGTCACCCGAGTAGCTGGGACTACAGGTGCCCACCACCATGCCCGGCTAATTTTTGTATTTTTAGTAGAGATGGGGTTTCACCATGCTGGCCAGGATGGTTTCAATCTCCCGACCTCATGATCGCCTGCCTCAGCCTCCCAAAGTGCTGTGATTACAGGCGTGAGCCACCACGCCCAGACGGTTTCTACATTTTTAAATGGCTAGGGGTGGCCAGGAGAGGTGGCTCAGATCACCTGAGGTCAGGAGTTCGAGACCAGCCTGACCAGCATGGTGAAACTCCATCTCTGCTAAAAATACAAAAATTAGCCAGACGTAGCAGTGCAAACCTGTGATCCCAGCTACTGGGGAGGCTGAGGCACGAGAATCGCTTTAATCCGGGAGGCGGAGGTTGCAGTAAGCCGAGATTGTGCCACTGAACTCTAGCCTGGACAACAGAGCGAGACTCTGTCTCAAAAACAAAAACAATAAAGGGGAAAAAGATGAAGATACTTTGTGATACAGGCCGATTCTATGCACTTCACAGTTCCATGCGTATAAATAAAGTTTTATTGACACACAGCTGCACCTACTTATTCACCTATGGTCTAAGGCAGCTTTCACCCTATGGCAGAGCTGAGCGGTTTAGATGGAGAGTGTCTGGCCTTTTTTAGAAAAAGTCTGCTGACCATGCCTGGGTGCCATGCTGTGATGATGAGGAAAGTTCTCGTCTAGAGGCCGGGGCACCTCACAAAGAACCTCTGAGCCTGCGGAACAGGTGTGCCGGGGCAGGACAGCCTGCCTGTGCTTGTGAGGCGCTGCAAAGGGCTGGGGACAGGCTGGGCCTTTTGTTCCATGTGTCACGGCATCTAGCAAGTGCTGGGCTTGAGGGATGCCACCAAGTGTGTCCACACACATGGGCCTGGCAGGGCTCAGACGGCCTGAGATGGCCTTTGCCTGGACCCGTCGGACACAGAGCGGCACAACTCAGCTGGAGGAGTCCACGATGGGACAAAATGGCCCGGCTACAGCTCTGTGCAGATAATGCAAACACCAGCTTGGGGTCTCTTCCAAAGCGGACTCCACCCTCCACGCTCACCTCCGAGACCCCCTCTGGCAGCCCTAAGCAGCCAGGGGACACCAGGGGCAGGGAAAGGCAGAAGCCACCGAAGCCAGGTCTCCTCCCTCGGGAACGTTAAGGCCTGGCAGGGAAGTACCTGGAGTACCTACCTCTCCTGCACGTGGACCCAGGCCACGGCGCTGCCTCCCTGCACCCGTCCCCACCCCCAACACCCAGTGATCCTCCTTCAACAAATACCCATCTGGCCAGCACCCACCCCACCCTTCCCCAAGCCCCCCAACAAAGCTTGTATATGGTGATTCATCCACACCGCCAAAAGACACCCCCCAGCATCACACGGGAATGTGGAACCCATGCTTGGCCTGGTTTTGTACGAGTGTGCAAGGGTGAGCTCGTGCGGGCAGGAAAGAAGTGAGCAAGTTAGCCGGGCATGGTGGTGCAGGCCTGTAATCCCAGCTACTCGGGAGGCTGAGGCAAGAGAAGTGCTTGAACCCAGAAGGTAGAGGTTCCAGTGAGCCAAGATCACACCACTGCACTCCAGCCTGGGTGACAGAGAAAGACTCCGTCTAGAAAAAAAAAAAAAAACAACGGCCAGGCGCGGTGGCTCATGCCTGTAATCCCAGCACTTTGGAAGGCTGAGGTGGGCAGATCACAAGGTCAAGAGATACAGACCATCCTGGCCAACACGGTGAAACCTTGTCTCTACTGAAAATATGAAACTTAGCCAGGTGTGGTGGCGCACGCCTGTAATCCCAGCTACTTAGGAGGCTGAGGCAGGAGAACTGCTTGAACCCAGGAGGCGGAGGTTGCAGTGAGCTGAGATCACGCTGCTGCACTCCAGCCTGGGCGACAGAGTGAGATTCCATCTCAGAAAAGTGAGAAACGTGTGTGTGAGGACCTTGGGGGACGCCACGCACCAGGATGCTGTGAGTCGTGTTATGAGCCTGAAAAAATCTGAACTGAGTCCCTCATGCCTGGGCATGGCTCCTCGGCCTGGCCACTCTCGTGGGGGTTGCGTTATCCTCATGGAGGCTGGGTCATCCTCATGGGGTTAGGGTTAGGGTTAGGTAATTTGCTTTTCAGGGGGCTGAGGAGCACCCCAGCCTCCACCCACTCTATGCCAATCATGTCTCTCTCCCAATGTGACAACCAAAGGCAGGCCCAGCCTTGGCCAAGAGTCCCCTGGGGGCAGAACCTGGCCAGGTGAGAGAGGCCCTGCTGTCCAGGTGACCTGCATGCTCTGAGGCCCGACACCCCAGGTCCCTCCTCGCCGGAACTCCCTCCCCTGCCCCCCATCCTGCCAGCCTGAGCCAGAGGCTGCTTTCTGAACCCCACCTGGCCCACCTGTGTCTAGAAAGACCCCAGCTATTCCGGGTCACTCCCTCCACGTGACACCTCCCTACTAGCGGCCCCTACCCCAGCAGGTTTCCAGCTCTGCTCCCCACTAGCCGGGTTCCTGGCCCACCAGTCCCAGGCGGGACTCCCAGCTGTCCCCTGCCACATGCCCTGCAGACACGGCTGGGTGACAGGGCTCACGGGGGGGGCCAGTGTGTCATCTGCTGAATGGCTGCCTTCACCCGAGTCAGACCCGCATTTCACCCTGCCTGAGTGAACTGAGTTGTAAAGGACGCTGCTGGGGCCCCGAGAGGTGGCGGGGCCAGGCTCCCTCTAGAGCACGGGGCGGTCCAACAGGGCGTCCAGTGGGGCTGGGGCTGGTACCTCCCCAACACTCATGAGGCCCTGCACCCTCAAAGCTCCCTGCAGCTGTCCCTCCCATTGGCAGGGGGACAACAGAGGCCCGAAGACAAGAAGCCAGCTCTAATCCCGCACACCACGGGTCCAGCAGGCGGCCTCGACGTTGGGACAATTCTGTCCCCGCTGGACAGATGGCAAGATGGAGGCTCCAAGAGACGCCGGGGCCTGCCCAAAGCCACACTAATTGAAAAGCAGGGGACTGGCCGGGCACGGCGGCTCACACCTGTAATCCCAGTACTTTGGGAGGTCGAGGCAGGTGGACCACCTGAGGCCAGGAGTTTGAGATCAGCCTGGCCAACATGGCCAAACCCTGTCTCTACTAAAAGTACAAAAATGAGCCAGGCGTGGTGGCGCACACCTGTAATCCCAGCTACTCAGGAGGCGGGGACAGGAGAATTGCTTGAACCCGGGAGGCACAGGTGCAGGGAGCTAAGATCACACCACTGCACTCCAGCCTGGACGACAGAGCGAGACTCCAACTCAAAAAAAAAAAAAGGAAAAAAAAAAACAGCAGGGGACCCCACCAAGCACTGATCTTCCTTCTACCTCCCTGAAGGCACCAGCTACATTCTTTCAGGTTCCCTGTCCCCAGGGCACTGTGACAGCAGAACCCACAGGGAGCCACTAAACAAAAGCTAACCTGCTGTGGCCCCACACACAAGAGCTGAGTATTATAATTATGCCCATTCCAAAGGCGAGGGCACTGAGATTCAGAGAGGGTAAGGGACTAGCCCAAGGTCACACAGAGGGTAAGTGGCTCCCAGAAACGACCTGACCCCCTCAACAAGCAGCTTTTCTCCCAGAAGCCCACCAGGTCCTCTGATCTCCAGATGGGCGAGTGGGGGCTGGGAGCTGCAAATCCCGACTTCAGCACCTGGCTCTCCCAACAGGATGCTGGGACCTGGGGACCCCAGGACCCCCAACCCATGGCAGGAATCAAGTGGGTGCTCCTGCCTGCCCACCGTTCTGGAGTCCTGTCCTTGAATTGGGCATGGCCAGCGGGAGGGACAAACAGCCTCCCCAGGGTTAGGTTGGGGAGCAGGACAGATGGCACCCAGACCCCAAGACACCCCGACCTCACGCCCCCTTGACGGGCAGACTTTCCAGCCCTTTCTCCTTCAGTCCGCACTGAAGCCTCGGGGTCCATTCAGAACCTCAACACTTTCCTCTGGACCCAAGACCCCAGCTCTCCCGCTTCCTTCATATTCCCTTGGGGACAGAACCTGCCAGGCCACCAATGACCCCAGGGCACAGATAAGGGCCTGCGAAATTTCCCATGGGACTCCAAGGTATCAGAACCTCTCCCTTGGCCCCCTATCCCCCACCCCCCGCCCGGGTGAGAGATGAGGGGCCTAATTCCCACCCCAGTCACCAATCTCTCCTGGATTCATCAGGGAACTCACTAAAGCTCCAGGGAGAACTGAGACCACGTGACTCACCCCAGAGACTCCAGGAAGACCCCCCCCCACACCCCATCATGGGCCTCCTCAGAGGGCCTGGGCCCCCCAGTCTCTTCAGAGCCCAGAGACCACCCCCATTCCCCCCCAGATGCCCCAACACCCAGCTTCATCCCCAGAGACTCCCACTCACACCCCCTCAGTTGGCGGGGGTCCACCAAGTCTCCTTGGAATCCTCTGAGGGATGAGGCACATGGTGGGCTGCAGCCCAATACTCAGGGAGCCCCCAAATCCCCAGGACCTCTCTTTGGTGGGGAGCCCTAGTCTGCAACCCTCATGGCCCCAGAACACACCTCTCACAGAAGGGTCCCCGGAGCTAGCTGGAGGCGCCTCTGCAGCCTTCACTCAGGACACCGAAGATCTCCTGGGACCCCCTCCATAGGTGGGGCATTCCTGGTCTGCACTTCTCCCTCAATGCCCTGGAAACTCCTGGGGGCCCCTGAGAGAATGGGCCATTCCCATCTGCACCCCTCCCATGGGGTCCCCCAAGATCTAGGAAACTGCGGTGAGCAGGCTCTGCCCAGGCGGCACCCCTCACTCAGGGTCTCCTCCTGGAGATCCCCGAGGCCGGGTCGTCCCCACTCCTGCTCAGGGTCCTCCGTGATCGTGTACCCCGCGGTGGGCTGGGCCTGGCCGAGCTGCACCCCTCACTTAAGGACCCCTCGAAACCCCCTGGAGACCCCCAAGCAGGGACCTGTCCCGGTCTGCACCCCTCCCCAGGGTCCCCGCGATGGCGCACCCCGCGGTGGGCAGGGCCTGCACCCTTCATTCAGGAGCCCCCCAAACCCCCTGGAGACCCCGAGCCGGGAGTAGTTCAGAGTCCCCGCGATCGCGCGCCCCGCGGTGGGCGGGGCCTGGCCGAGTAGCACCCTTCGCTCAGGAGGCACTCTCCGAAACGCGTCGGAGATCCCCGAGGCCGGACTGTCCCCGTCCGCATCCCAGCTCAGGGTTCCCCGCGATTGGGAGCCCCGCGGTGGGCTGGGCCTAGCCGAGCAGCACCCCTCACTCAGGAGCCCCCAAACCTCCTGGAGACCCCTGAGCCAGAGCCTGTCCCCGTCTGCACCCCCGCCCAGGGTCCCCGCGATCACGCACCCCGCGGTGGGCGGGGCCTGGACGAACTGGACCGCTCACTCTGGGGCCCCTCGAAACCCCCCGGACACCCCCGAGAGCCGGGCCCGTTCCTGTCTGCACCCAGGGTCCCAGCGATCGCACACCCCGAGGTGGGAGGGGCCTGGCCGAGCTGCACCCCTCACTCAGGGGCCCCCCGAAAACCCGCGGAAACCTCCGAAGCCGGGGCCCGTCCCCGTCTGCACCCCCGCCCCGGGTCCCCGAGATCGCGCGCCCCGCGGTGGGCGGGGCCTGCCGGCTGCACCCCCGCCCGACCCCTAAGCCCCGGCGCCCACCTCGCGCGTGGTCACCTCCTCCTTCTCTGAGATCTTGAGCAGGAGCCGGTCGTTCTCCAGCTCCAGCGCGCGGACGCGGTCGATGTAGTGAGCCAGGCGGTCGTTGAGCTCGCGCAGCTCCTCCTTCTCCTGCAGCCGCGACAGGCGCGTGGGCGACAGCGGCGTGGCTGGTCCGCCCGCGCGGCCGGGCAGCGGCGTGGCCATGGTGGCGGCGGCTCGCGGCCTGCGCTGCTCGCGACGGCGGCCCGGGCTCGGCGGGCTCATTCAATCCGCGCCGCCGGCTGCAAGATGGCGCCGCGCCGCGCCGCGCCCGCCGCCCGCCGCCGCGGGGCAGCCTGGGACTGGTAGTCCGGCCACCAGGCGCGCGCGGGGCACGCCGGAAGTTGAAGTCTCTGTCCAGCTCCCGCTTCGCAGAGGCGCTGACTCCAGAGACAGACCGCCTGGCTGCAAACTCCCAGCTCCGCCACGAGGAAACAGCATTGTTTCTTTTTAGTGCCTGTTTCCACACTTAGAGAACCTCAAAACGTGCTCAAAGAACCAGACACAAAAGGCCCTATAGGGCCGGGCGTGGTGGCTCACGCCTGTAATCCCAGCACTTTGGGAGGCCAAGGCCGGTGGATCACTTGAGGTCAGGAGTTCGAGAACAGCCTGGGCCACATAGGGAGGCCCCACCATCTCTACTATGGAGGCGCATGCCTGTAATCCTAGCTACTGGGGAGGCTGAGGCAGGAGAATCGCTTGAACTTGGGAGGTGGAGGTTGCAGTGAGCCAAGATCGTGGCACTGCACTCCAGCCTGGGCAACAATGGGAAACTGTCTCAAAATAAAAATAAAAAAGCAAAAAAAAAAGCCATATAGTGTACAATACTACTGATATAAAATGTCCAGAAGGCTATCAAGGAGCATGAATTTCAACAAATTGAGTTTAATGATCTCATTGGCTCTTATTAGCAATTCATGAATGGGACAGCATTCAATCTGTGAAATAGGCACTCAAACGAGCTGAGCAGAGAGAATGGGCACTCTACATTATAAGCAGAAAAGGCTGAAGAAAGGAGAAATAATAAATAAAATAAAAGCCAGGCCAGGTATAGTGGTTTGCTCACGCCTGTAATGCCAGCACTTTGGGAGGCCGAGGTGGGAGGGTCGTTTGAGCCCAGGAGTTTGAGACTAGCCTGGGCAACATAGCAAGACCCCATTTCTAAAAATAAAAATAAAAAAAAAACAGCCAGGTGCAGTGGCTCACACCTGTATTCCCAGCACTTTAGGAGGCCAAGCCGGGCAGATCACGAGGTCAGGAGTTCGAGACCAGCCTGACCAATATGGTGAAACCCTGTCTCTACTAAAAATACAAAAATTAGCCAGGCATGGTGGCACACGCCTGTAGTCTCAGCTACTCGGGAAGCTGAGGCAGGAGAATTGCTTGAACCTGGGAGGCGGAGGTTGCAGGGAGCCGAGATTGCACCACTGCACTCCAGCCTGGCAACAGAGTGAGACTCCATCTTAAAAAAAAAAAAAAAAAAAATTAGCTGGGCGCCTTTAGTCCTAGGTATTTGGGAGGCTAAGGTGGCAGGATTGCTTGAGCAAGAGAGGTCAAGGTTGCAGTGAGCCATGATCACATCACTGCATTCCAGCCTGGGTGACAGAGCGAGACTTTGTCTCAAAAAAAGTAAAAATAAAAATATGAAATAAAAACCAATGGGTTGATTCAAAGTTACTTTTTTCATAGGGTCTGTTTTAACCCCTTCTGTTTTGAGGGGACTCCCCTATCAGGTTAACTGAGCCCCTTTGGCTTGGTGGCTGTGAATGGTTTTTTTTTTTTTTTGAAAACCTGCACCCTTTAAAGTTCAGTTTGAGGCCAGGTGCGGGCAGCTCTCACCTGCAATCTCAGCACTTTGGGAGGCTGAGATGGGGGTATCGCTTAAGCCTAGGAGTTTGAGAACATCCTGGGCAACATAGTGAGACTCTGTCTCAGACAAAAAAAAAAATGTTTTTTTTGTTTTTTTTTTTTTTTGTAGAGACAGAGTCTCACTCTTGTCACCTAGGCTGGAGTGCAATGGTGTGATCTCAGCTCACTGCAACCTCCACCTCCTGGGTTCAAGCAATTCTCTGCCTCTGCCTCCTGAGTAGCTGGAATTACAAGCGCCTGCCACCATGCCCAGCTAATTTTTGTATTTTTAGTAGAGACTGGGTTTCATCATCTTGGCCAGGCTGGTCCTGAACTCCTGACCTTGTGATCCACCCACCTCAGCCTCCCAAAGTGCTGGGATTACAGGCATGAGCCACCGCACCCAGCCAAAAAAATTTTTAATCATTAGCCATGTGTGCTGGCACACACCTGTAGTCCCAGCTCCTCGGGAGGCTGAGGCAGGAGGATGGCTTGCATCCACGAGTTCAAATCCGCAGTCAGCCATAATTGTGCCACTGCACTCCAGTCTGGGCAATAGAACGAGACCCTGTTTCAAAAAATAAAAAAATAAAAGTTCAGTTTGACTACGTGGTACCTAGCACTAGAGACTCCATTCCAATTTTATCTGGTCTGCTGGGGACTAGAGACCCCAGTCTAAAAAAATGGCCTGCCATACATTTTCTTTAACAAGGCCAGGGACAGTGGCTCACACCTGTAATCTCAGCACTTTGGGAGGCCGAGGCGGACAGACCACCTGAGGCCAGGAGTTCGAGACCAGCTTGGCCAACATGGCAAAAACCTGTCTTTCCAAAAAATACAAAAATTAGCCAGGCATAGTGGTGGGCGCCTGTAGTCCCAGCTACTTGCGAGGCTGAGGCACAAGAATTGCTTGAACCCAGGAGGCAGAGGTTGCAGTGAGCTGAGATCACGCCACTGCACTCCAGCTTGGGTGACAGAGCGAGACTCCGTCTCAAAAAAAAAACCCAAAAATGTAACTTAACAAGACAATCTGTACAGCAGTGTTCCTCCAACTCTGCACTAGATATCTGGGGCCAGATCACTCTCTGTTGCACGGGGTTGGAGACAGGGGGTGCTGTCCATTACAGGGTGTCGAGCAGCACCCATTCCATGCCATGAGCATCCCAGTCTCCTACTTATTTTTTATTTTATTTTTATTTGAGGCAGTGTCTTGCTTTGTGGCCCAGGCTGGAGTGCAGTGGCGCGATCTCAGCTCACTGCAATCTCCGCCTCCTGGGTTCCAGCAATTCTCCTGCCTCAGCCTCCCGAGAGCTGGGATTACAGGCACGCGCCACCATGCCCGGCTAAGTTTTTGTGTTTTTAGTAGAGACGGTTTTGCCATCTTGGCCAGACTGGTCTTGAACTCCTGACCTCAAGTGATCTGCCCGCTTTGGCCTCCCAAATTGCTGGGATTACAGGCGTGAGCCACCGTGTCCGGCCTCAGACCCCTAGTTATGACAACCAAATATGTCTCCAGACATTGCCACATGTCACCGGAGGGGCAAAATTGCCCCAACTGGAGAATAACTTCCTCTTGCCCTAGAACTGGCCCGGTCGTACTTCTGCCTGGGGAACTCCTTCTCACACATCTCACCTTGGGGGTTTGGCTCAGCCTCTGCCAGAGACTCCAATAAATCACACACTGAGAATCTAATGCCCTTTCCAGCCTACTGAGGACACTGGGGGAAAATGCCCACCAGCTTCCAACAGCCAACATTCACTCGCTAATATTCCCCTCTTACCAGTTAGACCGCTAGCCTTAAAACCCAGGCAGGAAGCCTGGCATGGTGGCTCACACCTACAATCCCAGCACTTTGAGAGGCTGAGACAGGAAAATGGCTTGAGCCCAGGAGTTCAAGACCAGCCTGGGCAACATAGCAAGACCCATCTCTACAACATTTTTTTGTTTTTGTTTTTGAGACAGTCTCTCTGTCTCCCAGGCTGGAGTGCAGTGGCCCAATCTTGGCTCACTGCAACCTCCGCCTCCTGGGTTCAAGAGATTCTCCTGCCTCAGCCTTCTGAGTAGCTGGGATGACAGGCATGCACCACCATGCCTGGCTAATTTTTTTATTTTTGTAGAATTTCATCATGTTGGCCAGGCTGGTCTTGAACTCTGGACCTCAAGTGATCTGCTCACCTCAGTTTCGCAGAGTGCTGGGATTACAGGTGTGAGCCACTGCACCCGGCCCCTACAAAATAATTTTTTTAATTAGTTGATCGTGGTGACGTGCATCTGTATTCCCAGCTACTTGGGAGGCCGAGCCAAGATCGCTTGAGCCCAGGAGGTAGAGGCTGCAGTGAGCTATGATCGCACCATTTCACTCCAGCCTGGATGACAGTGCAAGACTCTCTCTCTCTTTTTTTTTTTTTTTGGCGGGGGAGACAGGGTCTCACTCTGTCACGCAAACTGGAGTGCAGTGGCGTGATCTTGGCTTACTGCAACCTCTGCCTCCCAGGATCAAGTGATTCTCCTGCCTCAGCCTCCCGAGTAGCTGGGATTACAGGCATGTGCCACTACTGCCCGGCTAATTTTTGCTAGAGATGGGGTTTTACCATGTTGGCCAGGCTGGTCTAGAACTCCTGACCTCAAATTATCTGCCCGCCTCGGCCCCGCACAATGCTGGGATTACAGGTGTGAGCTACCATGCCCAGCTGCAAGACTCTCAAAACAAACAACAAATAAACCAGCCAGGCAAGAGGGGACTAGACTGTGACTGTGTATTTAGAGACCTGATACTGTTTTCATTCCTCATAAAGGGCGGAATATAAAATATAGATGGTAAAACACAATTGGAAATAAATAATACTACAGGAGGCAGGACCAGAGGGGAGAAGGATGACTGAGGTTTGAGGTTTGGGTGGGAAATGGGGACACTTTTTTTTTTTTTTTTGAGACGGAGTCTTGCTCTGTGGCCCAGGCTGGAGTGCAATGGTACGATCTCAGTTCACTGCAACCTCCGCCTCCCGGGTTCAAGTGATTCTCCTGCCTCAGCCTCCCAAGTAGCTGGAATTACAGGTGTGTGCCACCACGCCCAGCTAATTTTTGTATTTTTAGTAGAGACGGGGTTTCACCATGTTGGACCAGGCTGGTCTCAAACCCCTGATCTCAGGTGATCCGCCAGCCTCGGCCTCCCACAGTGCTGGGATGACAGGTGTGAGCCACGGCGCCCAGCTGGGTCACCGGGCTAGGTCTGAGGGTCCCACCCTCAGACTGATCTGCAACCCCCTCCGCATCAATTTCTCACTGACCACCAGCCTTGGCCACTGGCCGACCTAATCCCCCTACTCGTCCGTCACCGGAGACCCTGCGGGGTCCCGCCCCCAACCCCATCGCGCTGCCCCTCTGGGCACTTCCATCCCCCCAGCCCTCCATCCCCAGCCTTTGCCTGTGCTGTTCCACC